CTCTGCCATTACATACAATTAAACAGGAAAAGATTTAAAAAAATAACAGCAATGTAATACAATACACTATTAGACATTATTGTCAAAAATAAGTCCATCCTATGTGTTAGTGAAATTTTTCATATTTTAGGCAGCAAATTCGTTTTCAAATTCAGATATTTTTTTTCTGGGGGGGGGGGGGGACCCCCTGGAAAATGTGCCCCCCCAATGTTGACTCCATGGCTATGGCCTTGCGACGCCGACACAGATTTTACTTCCGAGTGACGGACCGCGCGATGATTTCTGCGCGACGTTTCGCTGCCACGTGACAGGCGATTTGGTCGTTACAATGCCCTTTTGCTGCGGCAAGTCCTCGCCCGGACGCGGACAAGGCAGCTAGCTGCCTGCCTGCCTGCCTGGAGGGCGACAATTGTAAGTAAACAAAAATAAAAGAACACGTGACTTTACCGAATAGAACCAAAGAGTATGGATCCTTGCAGTCACGAAAGCTTCAAATCTAGAAAAGACAATTGTAAGCCCCGGACAGATTCCCGGAACCGCAGCGTAGCAGATGGAACCCATCCGCGTCCGAGTTTTCACATGCCGGGGTGGTTGATGTGCCGGGTGATTGCGTGAGGAGTAGCGCAGCAGAGTGGTCGAATCGTCGCCGCTGTGGTGATGACGATGATGAAGCCTCCAAAGCATTTCGTAAAACAACAAAACAAAATTCACCACGTGGTGGTGCTGGTGGTGGTGGTGATGGTGGTGGCGGTGCACGAGCATTGGGCTCGATAGACAATGTCGCGCCGCCTGGCAACTTTGTTGACATGGTTGTTGTTGTGGTGGTGGCGGCGGTGGTGGTGAGTCACCGACTCAGCTGTTCTGGAGGAACTCCCCCCTGCTATGTTCCTGCCAATGGCGTTGTCATCGGCAGGGGCCACCGCGCCTTGAAGCCCTCTCGCTGTCTGGCAACTGGAGTGCCTCATTGTCGAGTGACAACATCTTGTCTGTCCATCGTTGTCAGTTGACACAACAACAACAACCGCCATTCGCCACTAAGTGGCGGTGACGTCACCACGACGCTTGTGCCAGGCCATGTGCACCTTGAGGCCACGTGAAGTGTCGAATGCCCGCTGGCAGGAGGTCACGGGGCAGACCCAGGTGCCACGGGTCGACTGACTGAGATGACTGGCTGATGCACCACCTGTGCCCCCTACTGTGCCAACCTGCTGTGCTTTAGTCACCCGGCGCTCCGCTCGTTGTGAGCGTCGCTCCTCCGCCCTCCGTTGTTGTTGGAGGGCGACTGCTTCCAACTGCCCAGTAGCGTCCTTCACGAGCCTCCTCCACAGAGGCCGATCTTGACACCGCTGGGACCAGTCATCGGCAAGTCCACATCACTCCATCTCTTCTCTAGCCCGTGCCGCGCCCGTTTAGCCCCCTCGATCCGGCCGAACAAAAGCTGATTCGGCATGCGGTGGCTGGGCATGCGGGCTACATGACCCAGCCAACGCAGCCTTGCCTGCCGGAGGAGCTCACCGATGGGACCTTGCCCAGATCTTTCAAGGATATGTGAGCTCCTCACACAATTCAGCCTGGTTAAACCCAGGATGGATCGTAGGCAGGCCAGCCTAAATGTTTCTAACCGGCGAAGATGTTCCACCAGGGGGGGGTCCACGTTTCGCAAGCGTAGAGAAGGGAGGGAATGACAGTGGCCGAGAAGACCTGAAGCTTCGTGCGGAGCGACAGACCAGGTAGCTTACACGCAGCGTTACGCAACCGATGAAAAGATATTGCCGCTCGACTGATTCGGAATGAGACCTCTGCTGTTAAACCGGAGCCAGTCATGAGCACACTGCCCAGGTATGGGAAACTCTCCACTCTCTCCACAACTGCCCCATCACCGATTGGGAGTTGTGGGGGTGGAGTGTCCGATGGTACAAAATACCCAGGCAGGTGCTTAGTTTTGGTGGGGCTGATGGTAAGGCCCCACCTCTTAGTGGCACGCTCCAGTCTCAGCAGCAGCGTCTCCAACTCCTCCTCTGAATGAGCAGCTATTACCAAATCATCGGCATACATAAAGTGGTTGAGCAATAGGGAGCCATCCCTTGAGCGGACCCGGGCATCAATCAGCCTCCCATTATATCTCTACCAGATATAAATTCCTCCAATACAGCTATTGTAGGCTTCACGAATTACGTGGTCAAAATAGATGTTAAATAATGTTGGAGCCAGAGGACATCCCTGTCGCACCCCAAGGTGAACAGGGAATGGCTCCGACTCCCAGCCACGTAGTTTTAACCGGGCCCACAATGACACACTCCCACGTGCACAAGTTTTAAAGTTTTTTCAAGTTTCATTAATTCGGTGTAGCCCTGTGAGCCAATGCGGCTCTTGAGTCGGGTGCAACCGCAACAAACAGAAATATGAATAGAGAAACATCTTAAAGCGACGACGACGACACGCAACAGAAACTTCCTGGGATGAACCAGCAAATCTTCCAGAGAGAGAGAAAAAACCCCCCACCGTATTACAACGCTGCGTGCAAAAATCCCAGCGTGATGCAAGTCAAACAATAACAACAGCCGTAAGACAACTTAGATTAAAGTTAGCGCGCCAACTCCACACTTCCGCAAGAAACGTGGCTTAACCACGTGTTCTCGAAATCACCAAAATAAAGCTGTAAGAACATTGTAACAACAGTGGTCACAGGAACTGTGATTCAAATTGAACAATAAACGATATACATAACATGTACGACCAAACTTGCAGCCATAACCTACGAACAAAGACAAAGATCCCCCGTGTAGCCTGTGACAAACTGTTGGGGCAAGTGCAGCTCTGAATGCCGGAACTGTGGCACATGAGGGGCTGGGTGGCCAGCACCACTCTCATTGCTCGTGGTTATAGAGGTAAACCCTCTGGGCCTGACACCAAAGCACCTGGGAAGCTTATTATCTGGAGGTAAAACCTCTGGGCCTGACACCAAAGCACCCGGTGAGTTTATTATCTAGAGGTAAACCCTCTGGGCCTAACACCAAAACACCTGGGGCGTTGATTATCTGGAGGTAAACCCTCTGGGCCTGACACCAAAGCACCTGGGGCGTTGATTATCTGGAGGTAAAACCTCTGGGCCTGACACCAAAGCACCTGGGGAGTTGATTATCTAGAGGTAAACCCTCTGGGCCTGACACCAAAGCACCTGACACCAAAGCACCCGTGGAGTTGATTATCTGGAGGTAAACCCTCTGGGCCTGACACCAAAGCACCTGGGAAGTTTATTATCTGGAGGTAAACCCTCTGGGCCTGACACCAAAGCACCTGGGGCGTTAATTATCTGGAGGTAAACCCTCTGGGCCTGACACCAACGCACTCGGGGAGTTTATTATCTGGAGGTAAACCCTCTGGGCCTGACACCAAAGCACCTGGGGAGTTTATTATCTGGAGGTAAACCCTCTGGGCCTGACACCAAAGCACCCGTGGAGTTGGTTATCTGAAGGTAAAACCCTCTGGGCCTGACACCAAAGCACCCGTGGAGTTGGTTATCTGGAGGTAAACCTTCTGGGCCTGACACCAAAGCACCCGTGGAGTTGATTATCTAGAGGTAATCCCTCTGGGCCTGACACCAAATACCTGACACCAAAGCACCTGTGGAGTTTATTATCTGGAGGTAAACCCTCTGGGCCTGACACCAAAGCACCTGGGGAGTTTATTATCTGGAGGTAAAACCCTCTGGGCCTGACACCAAAGCACCCGTGGAGTTGATTATCTAGAGGTAAACCCTCTGGGCCTGACACCAAAGTACCTGATGAGTTTATTATCTGGAGGTAAACCCTCTGGGCCTGACACCAAAGCACCTGGGGAGTTTATTATCTGGAGGTAAAACCCTCTGGGCCTGACACCAAAGCACCTGGGGAGTTGATTATCTGGAGGTAAACCCTCTGGGCCTGACACCAACGCACTCGGGGAGTTGATTATCTGGAGGTAAACCCTCTGGGCCTGACACCAAAGCACCTGACACCAAAGCACCCATGGAGTTGATTATCTAGAGGTAAACCCTCTGGGCCTGACACCAAAGCACCTGTGGAGTTGATTATCTGGAGGTAAACCCTCTGGGCCTGATACCAAAGCACCTGACACCAAAGCACCTGGGAAGTTGATTATCTAGAGGTAAACCCTCTGGGCCTGACATCAAAGCACCTGTGGAGTTGATTATCTGGAGGTAAACCCTCTGGGCCTGACACCAAAGCACCTGACACCAAAGCACCTGGGAAGTTGATTATCTAGAGGTAAACCCTCTGGGTCTGACACCAAAGCACCTGACACCAAAGCACCCGGTGAGTTTATTATCTGGAGGTAAACCCTCTGGGCCTGACACCAAAGCACCCGGTGAATTTATTATCTGGAGGTAAACCCTCTGGGCCTGACACCAAAGCACTCGGGAGTTTATTATCTGGAGGTAAACCCTCTGGGCCTGGCACCAAAGCACCTGACACCAAAGCACCTGGTGAGTTGATTATCTGGAGGTAAACCCTCTGGGCCTGACACCAAAGCACCTGGGGAGTTGATTATCTGGAGGTAAACCCCCTGGGCCTGACACCAAAGCACCTGGGGCGTTGATTATCTGGAGGTAAAACCTCTGGGCCTGACACCAAAGCACCTGGGGAGTTTATTATCTGGAGGTAAAACCCTCTGGGCCTGACACAAAGCACCTGGGGAGTTGATTATCTGGAGGTAAACCCTCTGGGCCTGACACCAAAGCACCTATGGAGTTGATTATCTGGAGGTAAAACCTCTGGGCCTGACACCAAAGCACCTGGTGAGTTTATTATCTGGAGGTAAAACCCTCTGGGCCTGACACCAAAGCACCTGGGGAGTTTATTATCTGGAGGTAAACCCTCTGGGCCTGACACCAAAGCACCTGGGGAGTTTATTATCTGGAGGTAAAACCTCTGGGGCCCGGCACCGCTTGCTGCGTGTGGGCAGGGCCCTGGCGCGGCCCCGGCTCTTCCGGTTCGGCCTCCCCACCACGTGCCGTGACGTCACAGCTGTCGTAGGAAGTCGCCGCCGCCGCCGCTGCCGCTGCCGCCGCCGTCCTCGCGCTCTCGACAACGACAACACAGGAGGGGGGGGGGGCACCACCAATCATGGGGGGCGTCCGACTCGAGATCTTCCGCGTGAGACCCCCCCTAACACCCCCCACACCCCCCACCCCCCTCCCCCGTGTCTCTCTGCACCACCGCCGCCCGTGACCTCAAGGCGACCTCCCCCGGCGCAGCGTGGCGCCCCCTCTTGCTGACCCCCCCCCCACTCACTCACTCACTTTGACCCCCCCACTCACTCTGACCCCCACCCACTCTGACCCCGCCCCTCCACTCACTCTGACCCCCCCCCACTCACTTTGACCCCCCCACCCACTCACTCTGACCCCCACCCACTCTGACCCCGCCCCCCCCACTCACTCTGACCCCCCCCCCACTCACTCTGACCCCCCCACCCACTCACTCTGACCCCCACCCACTCACTCAGACCCCCCCCCCCCCCACTCACTCTGACCCCCCCCCCACCCACTCACTCAGACCCCCGCCACCCACTCACTTTGACCCCCCACCCACTTTTACCCCCCCCCACCCACTCTGACCCCCCCCCCCCCACCCACTCTGACCCCCCCCACCCACTCTGACCCCCCCCCCACCCACTCACTCAGACCCCCCCCCCCCACTCACTCTGACCCCCCCACTCACTCTGACCCCCACCCACTCTGACCCCGCCCCCCCCACCCACTCACTCTGACCCCCCCACCCACTCTGACCCCGCCCCACCCACTCACTCTGACCCCGCCCCACCCACTCGCTCTGACCCCGCCCCTCCGCGGCCTCTGTACGACAACAAGCCCAGCAGGAGCGGTGGCGCGATCATTGGGGAGGGGTTTGGTCATCGACCGGTCTGTCGATCCACTGCTGGATGTCGGCCACCTCCACCCCCACCTCCACCCCCACCTCCACCTCCACCCACGCCGCGCCCGGAAGCCGCGCGGAATGTTTGAAACTCCCCCAAGCTCCACGATTTAAAAACAACAGCAGCAGCAACATGAATCACGGTCATCCGACAACGTTTAAAAAAACAGCAGCCGCTGGCTTATAAACGGAGTTGTTCACGGGCAGCGTCGGCTGTGGTCTCCTTTTTAGTGATCTCGCGTGAGTTCTGCGTAGTTTTATGGATTTAAAGCCTCCGTGGTTTGTCTTGGGAGTAAAGATCGTCGGCGTAAGGCACTACAACGAGAGTTTCAGTCACGTTTCGCTTTACGTTGAAGGCGGTTGTGCGTGTGGTTTGTTTTGCTTCGTTAAAGTTCTTCATTTGGTCATTTCGGTGGCAAATGAAAGACTCCTGGGTCTCTTTTGAGTTGTCAACTTGGTTAAACAAATGCATCTTGCGTACAAAGAAGGTATATGCCTATCCACAATACTGCAGTTGTATTATTAGTATTGTTATTTCCCATGTTCCTGTAATGTTACGAACAAGTTTTATTGTTTTGTATTTTTATTGTTTCCCTTCTACGTGACTTTACCGAAAGATTTCGATTTAAAGCTTTCGTGACTGCAAGGATTCATCTTCTTTGGTTCTTTCGGTAAAGTCACGTAGAATGAGAATTTTATTGTGTTATTTTATTTTATCAATTTATTATTTTATTCTCATTCTACGTGACTTTACCGAAAGAACCAAAGAAGATTTACCGAAAGAGCCAAGAAGATGAATCGCTGCAAGTCACGAAAGCTTTAAATCAAAGTTTAGAAAGATTTAAGATAACGGTGGGATGGATGTGGCGTCGCCAAGATACTATTGACGTTTAACTATTTACTGTTTATTTTACCAGGTACACAGAGCTCTTTATCAGAAGTTGCCTGGCTATAACAAATGATAGCTCAACGAAGTGGCTTATGTGGACATTTATAGCAGCCAAATGCTGTGGAGGGAAAATGTGGAGGACCCGGAAGAAGTTCCACGCGACGACTGGGAGAGAGACACCTTAAACTCCAAATATACAGCAGCAGCAGGCGTCAAGGTTGGGCTCAATCTCACGACCTCCTGTATAACAGGCGAGGTAGTCAACATCTCCTAGCCACCGTGATGATGATGATGAGAGAGAGACGCAGACTCTAGATATACAGCAGCGGGCATCGTCAGGGTCGGGATCGAATCCACGACCTCCTGCGTACCTGGCGAGGTAGTTAACATCTCGCCACCGTGATGATGATGAGAGAGAGACGCAGACTCTAGATATACAGCAGCAGGCATCGTCAGGGTCGGGATCGAATCCACGACATCCAGCGTACCAGGCGAGGTAGATAACATCTCCTAGCCACCGTGATGATGATGATGAGAGAGAGACGCAGACTCTAGATATACAGCAGCAGGCATCGTCAGGGTCGGGATCGAATCCACGACATCCAGCGTACCAGGCCACCGTGACGCCCCTTTCACCAGAGCGGCGTTGCACACGATTTCTGGCTGGAATCAATCGCCGCTTCTATTTCCAAGCTGTCATTTTGTAATTTGATGGACATTCTTTTTGCCGGTTTGCCACTGCAAAATCCGCGAGCTCTTCTCGTGCCTCGCAAGACCTTCCCTGTGGAGGGACAGAACTGGCTGCGAATCGATGAAAATAATAGCAACCACAAGGATACCTTCGCGAAAGGACAATGATACTTGAGCGAGCCAACATAATTGGCTGCCTGCCATTTCAGTGAGCCATCATCTGAAGCGTGTTCTCTCCAAATGTATTCTTTGCTCAACCACTAGAGACATCCTTAGGCAGATGGCTTCTGCCCAATGTTTGGAATCTTGCCCAGGCTCGACAGAATTTGCCAATACTCCTTTGGTGAGACGTATTTCTGGAATATGGAGAGAATCTTATCAGTGGGCCAAGCGTGGTCTCTTTAAAAGTCTTAAGTGAGTGCTTGTGCAATTCAATAAGGGCAATGGCCCTTCCGTGTGCTATGAAGAAGGGCCAGGCCTAACACGGCACCTATTATATATTTTTCCTCTTAAGACGGCAGCGTGATTGATGAACGTGTCGAGTTTTCTGTTGTAATAATGTGACGGGAGCAGCGTGCCGAGTGGCTGTTCGTGATGGGGGACGGATGCGCGCGTGCCTTGTGTGTGTGTGTGTCGGCTCTTTCCTGGCAGATGATGCTGTACCTGTCCTTCCCCGTCGCTATGTTCTGGGTGTCGAACCAGGCCGAGTACTTTGAGGAGTACGTGGTGAAGAGGAAGGCAAGAGTCGCGCCAAAAGAAAACACCACACGCGGCCAGACAACGTCGCGTATCCGACCCGCCACATGTCCACCCGCACGCAGCGCAGTAGTGAAATGGCCTCTCTCTGTAGACGCTTACACATCTGGCATTTTCACACGTCCGCCGAAACCCCAGGCAGTCTGGTGGAGCAAGACGCGCGCGAGAGTGTCGGACGGACAAACCCACAGGCTGCGAGATACCCTGGAGATGGCAGGACACCCTAAACGAATTCTTGAATCCGTCTGTGTGGACCTTGTCATCTCGTTGGTGGGGGGTTTTCCCCCCCCCCGAATTTTTCGCTATCGCCCCCCCCCCCCATTAATGGAACTGACCAAACATCCCGACGTGGCAGGGATCTTCCCGAAAATGAGTCGTGAGACTCCTTCTTTGGTTCTTTCGGTAAAGTCACGAAGAATGAGAATAAAACAATAAATTGATAAAATGAAATAACACAATAATATTCTCACGACGTTTCGGCCACAACACAAGCGGCCTTCATCAGGTGAAGGGACGAGACTGTCTGGTAGGACAGCGCTGGAGAAGATGAATCATTGCAGTCACGAAAGCTTTCAATCGAAATTTAGTCGTGAGACTCGTCGAGGCTTTCCCGGGTAAACGCGCAGCGCGCTGTCACGACCGCATCGACTTGCAGAGGGACGAGTGGCCGAGTTGAATTCCAGGCTGGCATTGGGGCCACGTCGCGTCCGCTAATGCTTGCGGTTCCATCCACGCCGCGCCCGTGCTAACGCGGGCCTTTCTTTTTACGCTTCCGTCCGCAGAAAGAAATCTTCCCGGCGAACGAGAGCAAGCAGGTACGACGCACGCCGGCCCTTCCCGCACCGTCGACGCGCTGCCCGGAACGTTTCGCGCGGCCTCTAGTGACGTCGTGACACCAAAGGCAAAGTTCGGGTCCCGCCCTTGGGTGGGCCTCGAACGAATGAATTCCGTGCCGGCTCGTTTTTAACGGACCTAGTTCATTCCCGGTATGCTGGAGTTGGTGACCGGCTTGGGAATCGGAACAGATTCTAAACACCGTTCTGATGGTGGCGGTGGCGATGCCGCGTCCTAGACGTCTGACCCGCTGCCTTGCAACCTCTGACCCCCCTCGTCGTCCACAGCCGCACGGTCACCGGGCACTTGCGAGCAGGAGGCGTCGAGGAATTTCGATGACATTCAGTGACACAGCTGCTGAATAAGATCGCCGCGTGTGAGAGCCTGCTCGTGACGGTTCCAGATTTTCATCTTTAACCAACTCGGAGCAATGTTTGCATGTCTGTATTGCCTTGCCAACATTCCACTGTTTAGTTACAATCATTGTCAATTGGCCACGTAATATCCACAAGGGGAGTTTTTGTGTTAGATCGCGTAAATATATAAATGTGTCGTTAAACCCGCCACCGCCTGACACAACCAATCGGTAAGGGTTTGTCACGTAAACAAAACGTGCCAAGCTGCTACTAGTTCGGCACACAACGGTGTGTTGGAGAGTAAACCCACTACAACATTTACATTTCGAGTACCGGGGCGTTCCGCCGGTAATTACAACAACAAACCGGCCTCATCAGGCGACAGCCATGATTGTGGATAAATCCTCCGCCTGTGTCGGCCTGAAATAGAGGGCGTAAACGTGACGTCGTCACTGTGAACCTATCGGGTCCATTTATATTGATGCGATCTGACCCAACGAAACCTCCACTACGCACTCACTGCAACCGGTGCCCGTGGCTCGCTCACGAGACCAGTTCTCATTTGTGTGCGCATCGTTGTTGAGACGCGTCCCGCGTCATGTCTCCTTGCACCGGATGCGACAAGTGGTGACGCTCAGGACGACGGCGGGCGGGCGGGGGGGCGTGGGCCCGCGTGCGGGCGTTCGTACGTCACGCCGCCGTGGTTGCATCTCTTGCAGAGGGAGGAGCTGGAGAGATTCAAGCAGTTCATCCAGATGGAGCAAGCGAAGAAGCACGAATGAGCTCCGTGGGATTCCGTTCCGCACGGACTCCTCCGGATCGCCCGCCGCGTGATTTTCGCTCGACCGGACGAGTGCGCCTATCGAAATCTCTGTCATTCGGGCCTTCTCCCCGCGGGCCTCTTGCGAGCGTCACCACGCGCGGTGGCCTCATTTACCTTAGTCGGGCGACGCGGCCCCTCACGGTAGACGTGGGGCTTCCACAGCCGTACAAGCTGCGTCGCTCCCGTGTACGGGATCGTCGCACCGTCTCGCTCCCGTGTACGGGGAGCGACTGCGTTCGCGAGTTGGTCAACGGCTGTTGTTGCTCAGGTCGCCCTCGTTGCTCTCGCCGATCTCTGTGGGCCGCAGAGACCGGCGCGCAGCAAATTGGCGGAGGAGATGTAACGCGACGGGGGAAAAGTTGCCGGCGAAACCGCGGCGCTGCGGCTGTTGTGGCTTTGGCCGCTGCCGTGGCTACACGGTCGGTAATCGTCACACATTTGCGCCTACCGGGAAAGAAAAAAACCTTTTTTCGTCGTCGTGTTACGTTACCGCGGCTAATCCGCTCTCCTGACCTTTGTGGTCTACGCAGAGCAGCTGGGCCGGGGCGACTCGAGCAACGGCCGGCGAGGGGAAGTTGTTGCTTAACGGGAACGGCCTCTCGTCGCGACGATCGTCATTGTAGTTTAAATTGCGCTGGGCGGCGGCTCGCGCGGGCGAGACACGGATTTCTTCCGTCGGTTGTGGGCTGAACGGAGGTGATGGGAGGATGACCCTCGTCGCCGCCCCTCCTGGCAGGCCGGGTACTGAAGTCGCCTTGTGCCGCCGCTGGGGGGGCGCCCTGTCAAGAGCGCGTCGAGACGATGAGTGAAGTGTCTCGCTGCTGTGATGACATTGATGGCGATGACGACGATGACGACGACGACGATGATGATGTGCCCGCTACATAAAGTGCCGTTTGCCCTCTTGAGACTTGCACCGAATGGATCTGTGACGCGGGTTCACGCGCTCGTTCGCTCGCTCGCTCGCACCCGCGCATCCGTCCCACCGCTGCCGGTCTGAACCTATTTGACGATGCGTCGACAAAAGTTATGAGCTTTGACACGTGCGCAGGCAGTGCCTCATTCACGCGTGTCTCCACGTGAATGCGATATATTATTGTTCCATACCCCCATCCCATCAGCCGCACGCACGCACGCACGGCCTTCTGGGAGGGCATCATTTGAGCAGCATTGGTTCAATACGGGCACATCTCTGGACGTGGTTTCGACATGCCTTGTCTCACCGGCATGATAAGGTTTGCGCTGAAGCAGCGCTTGGCGAGAAGCGACAGCTGTGCGTAGGCGCCGTGGTCAGGACATCTGCGAAAGAGCTTTACAGCCGGTCGGATTCCTCCAGTGTCAACATTGCCGATTCTGGGACCGTTCGATCTTGGGCCAACCCCTAATTCGACACAACACGGTGAGCGGGCGTCGCTGGGGAGGACAGCAAAGCGGACAACCACAAGAGGGAACGCCTCGTTCGTGTGTCCAAGTTGTACGAGCGACCGGTGAACGTTACGGTGGGACCCCGGGGTCCCGAATAAACGGAAGCCAAAATCGTAATAAATTTACTTGATTTTTGGCGACTCGGTCCCGCCGCGCGCACAGACTTCCGCGACCCGCCTGCGGGCGCCGATCGTCCTGTTGTCGTGCCGAGCACAGCAGCGAGGACGAATGCCGCGGTCCGAAACGGAACTTTGAAACGTTAACGGAGCGCATCGCGTAGAGCTCGCCGAGAGGAACAGCTGGCCGTGCCGTTCGCCTTGGGCAGACACGACGCGGTTGACGCGAGAGCCGGGGGGGGGCTTAACGGGAGGGCCCCGGGGGTCCCGCCACGAGGTTCCGATGTTCCCGGTAGCACGGTTCGGCGAAGTGCGGCGCAAAAACAAGTTCCACCTCGGCCGCGTGTCCGGCGCGGTGTGGAGGGGTCTCTGCAGGGCAAGGGCTCTGTTGGGGGGGGGCTCTGTTGGGGGGGCCTACGGAGCTCCTTGCTCGCCAGCGGCTGTCTGGGGGACTTGGGATGGGGGTGAGGGTGAGGGGGGGAGAGACGATGATGATGATGCTGCTGATGCTGCTGGGAGGAAGGCAATTCGACAGGGGAGGGCAGTGCGAGGGAAGAAGCGGAGGGGAAAGTGAGGTGGTCTGCAGTGTGGTGAGTAGGTGAGTGAGTGTGTTGTTGTGACCTGCAGTGTGGTGAGTGGGTGAGTGTTGTTGTTGTGACGTGCAGTGTGGTGAGTAGGTGAGTGAGTGTGAGTGAGTGTGTTACTGTGACCTGCAGTGTGGTGAGTAGGTGAGTGAGTGTGAGTGTTGCTGTGACGTGCAGTGTGGTGAGTAGGTGAGTGAGTGTGTTGCTGTGACCTGCAGTGCGGTGAGTAGGTGAGTGTGTTGTGACCTGCAGTGTGGTGAGTAGGTGAGTGAGTGTGAGTGTTATTGTGACCTGCAGTGTGGTGAGTAGGTGAGTGAGTGTGAGTGTGTTGCTGTGACGTGCAGTGTGGTGAGTGTGTGAGTGAGTGTTACTTTGACCTGCAGTGTGGTGAGTAGGTGAGTGAGTGTGAGTGAGTGTGTTGCTGTGACCTACAGCGTGGTTAGTTGTTGGCTTTTTCGATTTAAAGCTTTCGTAACTGCAGGGATTCATATTCTTGGTTCTTTCGGTAAAGTCACGTAGAAGGGAAATAATACAAAAAAAAACAATGCAATTATCACGACGTTTCGATTGCAACACAATCAATCATCATCAGGTGTGAAAACCACAGCAAGAAAATCACTTTTTTCAAAATTTTCTTGCTGTGGTTTTCACACCTGATGATGATTGCTTGCGTTGCAATCGAAACGTCGTGATAATTTTATTGTTTTACTTTTATTATTTCCCTTCTACGTGACTCTACCGAAAGAACCAGGAATATAGTTGTTGGCTGTCTGAGTCAGCGGCGTCAGTGTTAGACGTCTCGCGTTGTGTATAGGGCTGGGCTAAGCGACTGTGGAGAGTGGGCAGGCGAGACCGTGAATGGTCTAAATAAAAGGTGCCTCCCACAAACCTCGTCTCCGAAGCACTGACACTACACGTGGAGTGCAGCGAGGCTCCGTTGGTGAGTCACTGAAAGTTGGTCCATAGTCGTGCTTATATTGAAGCAGTGCTGCTGAAATGATTCGCTCCCAGAAGGCCGCGTCGCTGATGGGATGTGTACAAAAAAAGGCGTTACTTGTTTTTGGAGAGAGGTGGCGTCATTGTAATAGGTTTTTACCTTTTTAGCTGGCACAAAAACTGACACCTTTATACAAGGTATCATAAATTTCGATTTAAATTTCGATTTAAAGCTTTCGTGACTGCAAGGATTCATCTTCTTTGGTTCTTTCGGTAAAGTCACGTAGAATGACAACAAAAGAATAAATTGATAAAATAAAATAACATGTTTGCAATAACCACAACACAAGCAGACAAAAATGCAAACAAAAAGAGACAACTCTGATAATGAGATTGGCACTGTCCTTGAATTTGATTGGTCCACACCCGAGACGGCTTTTCTTAGAGCCTAGTCTCCACTGGTGTATATTACTATATCTTGTTACTGGCAAAGGTCTCATAAGGTGGCGTTATTGTCTGGTTATTTGTGTTAGCTACATTCTCCACCACCAGGATGCTGGTGATGATTTTTATCAGCAGTAGTTCTGTTTCATGCTGGGGTTTATTTTAATGGTGGGGTAAAGTGTGGGTACCCCTACTTTAACCACGGTGGCTAGGAGATGTTAACTACCTCGCCTAGTATGCAGTAGCTCGTGGGTTCGATCCCGACCCTGACGATGCCTGCTGCTGTATATCTTGAGTGTGCGTCTCTCTCTCATCATCATCACGGTGGCTAGATGTTAACTACCTCGCTAGGTATACAGGAGGTTCGCGAGTTTGATCCAGACCGTTGACGTCTGCTTCTGTATATTTGGAGTTTGCGTGTCTCTCCCCGCGCGTCTGGAGTATTTGGCTGCTATAAACGTCCACGTGATGACGATAACTTCACTTCGTTGAGCTATCGTTTGTGATCGCCAGGCGGCTTCTGAAAAAGAGCTACAGTGCTCGGTGGGGTCTTGCGTGGTTAAATAAAAAAAATAGTTTGTGTTTTTTTGCACCAAGACGGAGCTGGCCAAGCGTGGCAGAGGAGGGCCCAACGTGTATCCCCTGGGTGGAGAGAGACGGGAGCTCCGTGGAGATCACGCGAGCGGAGGGGGGCTACTGCCAGCGGTGGCGCGCGACGAAATAAGTCGCAGGGCCGCGCCTTTAGAGTGAAAATAATCAAGAATCAAGTAAGAAACTCACGGCTCCAAATCCTGTTCGTGCTGCGGTGCATTTGGGGGGTGGGGCGGTGGCGTGGGAAAATAAATACGCAAAATTAGTGTTTGTTATATAATTAACTCGCTTTACTAGCCGGCTTAGCCCGAGACTTGGATTCTTGTATTGTATTAATAGACGGCCTACACGGAGGGTTGGGGAGGGGGGGTGACGTCAGCAGGCACACTGCGTGACGCTGCCGCATGCGGGTGACATCACAGATGTGACGTCACCGCTCACTTGCCGTGCAAAATATATCCATTATTGCGCACCCCTCCCCCCGCTCCCCAAAATACAAAAGTCTATTTTTTTTATTTTTGCATGGTGTACAGTCTGGAAGCTACCCACATGCCAAATGTCAAGTTTGTTGCATGTCGGGAAGTATGCTAAACATTTCGAACAGACACACACATTCACAAATTTCCCTTTAATATATATAGATGAATCTGCCTTTCCCTCCCGTTGTACGTGATAATCAGTTGTGAATGTGGGCCCTCTGCTCTGGTGGTTGTTGATGTGGGGGGTACGGGAGTGTAACGTTGTACGTGATAATTAGTTGTGAATGTGGGCCCTCTGCTCTGGTGGTGGTTGTGGTGGTTGTTGTGGGGGGTGCGGGAGTGTAACGTTGTACGTGATAATTAGTTGTGAATGTGGGCCCTCTGCTCTGGTGGTGGTGGTTGTTGTTGTGGGTACGGGAGTGTAACGTTGTACGTGATAATTAGTTGTGAATGTGGGCCCTCTGCTCTGGTGGTGGTTGTTGTTGATGTGGGGGGTGCGGGAGTGTAACGTTGTACGTGATAATTAGTTGTGAATGTGGGCCCTCTGCTCTGGTGGTGGTGGTTGTTGTGGGGGGTACGGGCGTGTAACGTTGTACGTGATAATTAGTTGTGAATGTGGGCCCTCTGCTCTGGTGGTGGTGGTTGTTGTTGTGGGTACGGGAGTGTAACGTTGTACGTGATAATTAGTTGTGAATGTGGGCCCTCTGCTCTGGTGGTGGTTGTTGTGGGGGGTACGGGAGTGTAACGTTGTACGTGATAATTAGTTGTGAATGTGGGCCCTCTGCTCTGGTGGTGGTGGTGGTTGTTGTGGGGGGTGCGGGAGTGTAACGTTGTACGTGATAATTAGTTGTGAATGTGGGCCCTCTGCTCTGGTGGTGGTGGTTGTTGTTGTGGCGGGTGCGGGAGTGTAACGTTGTACGTGATAATTAGTTGTGAATGTGGGCCCTCTGCTCTGGTGGTGGTGGTTGTTGTGGGGGGTGCGGGAGTGTAACGTTGTACGTGATAATTAGTTGTGAATGTGGGCCCTCTGCTCTGGTGGTGGTGGTTGTTGTTGTGGGGGGTGCGGGAGTGTAACGTTGTACGTGATAATTAGTTGTGAATGTGGGCCCTCTGCTCTGGTTGTTGTTGTTGTGGGGGGTGCGGGAGTGTAACGTTGTACGTGATAATTAGTTGTGAATGTGGGCCCTCTGCTCTGATGGTTGTGGTTGTTGTTGTGGGTACGGGAGTGTAACGTTGTACGTGATAATTAGTTGTGAATGTGGGCCCTCTGCTCTGGTTGTGGTTGTTGTTGTGGGTACGGGAGTGTAACGTTGTACGTGATAATTAGTTGTGAATGTGGGCCCTCTGCTCTGGTTGTTGTGGTTGTTGTTGTGGGGGGTACGGGAGTGTAACGTTGTACGTGATAATTAGTTGTGAATGTGGGCCCTCTGTTCTGGTGGTTGTGGTTGTTGTTGTAGGTACGGGAGTGTAACGTTGTACGTGATAATTAGTTGTGAATGTGGGCCCTCTGCTCTGGTGGTGGTGGTTGTTGTGGGGGGTACGGGAGTGTAACGGCTGGCGCGCTACGCTGCGACTCGAACCCGGCGCCTCGAGTTCGATTTCCGGTTGCGGCCAACACCGGTCACGATTATCCGAACCGGTCCTGGGGCCCTACCCGCTTGTCGACTCGTCCTCAAACGAGTCACCTGGTGCGGGCGGGGTGTGGTGAACATCGTCGCTGGGGAGACAAAGGCGGCCAGGGGTGGCTTTCTGGCCACCCACGCTCCCTCGTGTGCCGTGCCGGCCTTCGTAGGTGCCACTCGCTAACAGCACTTGCCCCTACAGTCTGTTAAGGCTACACGGGGGGGAGGGGGGGGATCTTTATCTTTTTGTTTTATTGGGCAGGTCGACCGTGCCCATCCACCCAGAGGCGCTGGTTCGCTCGCATTCCTGCCACACCTGAACAGAGGCGCAGCCCTGAAATTTCT